AGGAGAAGTACGCAGCTAAAGGAGAACTTTGTAGCTAAAGGAGAAGTATGCAGCTAAAAGAGAAGTGTGCAGCTAAAGAAGAAGTTCACAGCTAAAGGAGAAGTACACAGCTAAAGGAGAACTTGGCAGCTAAAGGCTTGGCGTTCTTGAAACGATTCCTCCCACCGTCTTTTACGACAGGTCAAAACTAAGATCATCTGATCATGAGGAGAGACGAAGCAGCTGTGGCGGCCATGTTGGATTGTGGTGGCTACAGTCAGTTAAAAACATGCATCCACGATTACGTTTTGGACATTTTAATAAAATCTGTAAAGTTTTGCTAACAAACAAACAAACAGCATCAACTCGAACAGTCAAAGTTTTAAACAAATATCTTGCACTGTGTGTGCACTTTGGAATATGTTTTACGATCTACTTTCAGCTGCTGCCATGCTAAATTTTAGCTCATTGTTTGTAAATGTGTCTGAGTCTGAGCCTTTTTTGTGTTTTCTTGAGTCAGTAGGCCGTGGCAGCCATCTTGAATTGAGTCTCAAAGGTTTTACTTTCTGAATAAGTTTAAAGTTTTGTCCCGAGGTTCATATTTTGGTAACGGACAAAGAGACATCACCTAAAGACATTACAGCTCTTTGACTTCAGAAGTGGACAACAGGAACGTTCGAGTGCAGTTTGCAGCTACATCACACGAGGTCCTCCAAACAACGAGCAACATGAGACGTTGCCATCAGCAGGATTTGAACCTTCAAACACGTCTGGAGTGAGTCTGAGCTGCTCGATGCGACACTGAATACAATCAGCACTTGTAGCCTCCAGTTTCATTTTAAATCCGTTTCTCGTGATTCCTCTAATAAAAGATTGGCATAAAGGCAGTAAACAAACAGAACCGCAGCCCAGACATTTGGCAGACCGTAAACTACAATTTACATTTTGTGTCTCCTGGCTGGACTTTTCAGAAGAAATGAAACGTTGTCTGATCGAACAGAAGCAAAACATAAATCACCCAAATCTTTCAACATTGGCGTCAGGATGCATCTTTTTGAAATAAGTCACTGTACTGACTCGTGTGAGCTTCGAAGGCCGAGCTTTGGCTTCCTGTAAAACAGCAACACGCTGCTTTTACAAGTGAGGCTTTGTTTGGGAAAAGATCGTTCCTTCTACACTTACCAGAGACTCTGGGTCTGTCAGAGGATGAAGGACTGGGATTGGGTCCCTTGTTGCTAAACGACATGAAGAGGTGTTGACAGAAGTCCTCAGGGAGTTCACTCTCCAGGAACGCTTGCATAAAGACCTTGAAACCTTCAAAGTCGATCTCCTGGAAGCCGAGACAGAAATAGAAGCTGCTCGTCATAAAGATGTGCAGTTATCACCCTCAGGTTGCAGCTTCATCATTTCCAGTATGAACACAAAGTGTCGTTTCTGATACAGTTACTGGGAATAGAAGCAGATGTTCTGCGCAGGTTTCTATTCTTCCTAATCATGACTGGTACAGATGTGTCCGTCTGCCTTGTCCACACATTGATCTGTCTGAAAAAATCTCTTTGTTGTAGAATATTCTTGTAAACACAGAATTATTTCTATCCACATGGTCACAGGAATAAATGGTGCAGTCACTGACATGGTGCCACCTGTCAATCAATCCAGTAGGCGTGTCAGCAACTGACCAATCAGAGACCTCAATTTGCCCCAACGTGACAAAGCCAAAGTGGTTCAAAACATCAAAGTTCATGCGCAATTTTTCTACCTGGATTATTGAGCATGAACTTTGGTGTTTTGAACCACTTTGGCCACGGATGCCTCAGAGGAGTTGACTGGGGAGAGGGCGGGTCCCAGAAACCATCTTATCACCAGCAAACTGGTTGGTCCACTATGGGAGTGCGCTGCTCGTGGGACTGAGTTTGTTGTGGCTCCTTGGACTGATGAAGTCCTTTGGATCAAGGACAAAATGTCTCAATAAAAAAGAAATCGTCCAGATGATCTGACTGAACTTTGCTGCTACGATCAGTTAAAACTAAACCGGATTAACACAAAGTGTTTGTTTGTTTGTTTAAAGTAAAATTTACTCTTAATTCTCGCTGAGTTTCACCTTCAGGCAGAAACACCTCAGGTAACGCCGTGAGCTTCACCACCTCCACCAGCACAGCTGTCTTGTTTGTATGTCGGAGGTTAACCCACCCTGGGCTACATTTCCACGTGAGCAGAGCGATCTTATCGTGAGCGTCACGTATATGATGCCAGGCCTGTAGCAGGCGCTGGAACATTGCCTTAAGAACACACAGGAAACAGGAAACAAGGCACGGAGCGTGCACGTGAAGCTTCCAGGTCGAGTAGACTGTTTATACAAAGCAAGAAGTGTGCATGTTAAAGTGTTGGTGCTTGGAACAGAGTGGGGTTTCTGAGCTGCTGTTCATACGTCGTGTTATTTACATTATTAATGTTTAGTTTATATCTTTGATCTTGTAGCGTACCGTTTGGCATTCATTTAGCGTACGTATATCTTAGATCTTTATTTACTGTTTCTTTTTACACGTTACAGTTTTAATATTGTTGGGTGTAACTGGGACCCTGTGGACATAATTTTGTTCCACCTCATGTACCACATGTGGTGTGTGTAACAATAAACTTGACTTGAACTTGGACTTGGTTTCAGGTTTTTTATTCTGAAGTCCAGTGTTGAACGTATTGTTTAGTTGTTGCTAAAACGCTGATTTAAATTGACTCAAGGCTGAAAGAAGAAAAATAAACCTTGCTCCTATGTGGACGGGACCTCCTTGCTCCCATGTGGACGGGACCTCCTTGCTCCCATGTGGACAGGACCTCTGAGAGCTTCACTCTTTGGGCTCATCTCACTGAAGGTCACAGAATATTCCATGTCTTCTTCTATCATACATCATATACTTGTTTTTGGTGTTGTGTGTTGGGGGCAGCACCAGGAAGAAGGGCATCCTAAGGCTGAATCGGCTCGTTAAGAAGGCAGGATCTGTGGTGGGACTGGACCTTGACTCTGTGGAGAAGGTGGTGGAGCAGAGGGCGTGCTCCAAGATCAGGGCGATCATGTCCAATCAGGGTCACCGCTTGATCTCTGTCTTCTCTAATCAGTGAGTTCAGTGAGCTCCAGACTCCGTTCACTGAGGTTCTCTACTGAGAGACCAAAGAGCTCGTTTGTCCCTCGTGCCATTAGGCTCTACAACTCAGCCACTCCTGGCAGGAAGCAGAGAAGATGGCCACTTATGTCCCCGAACATAGTTGTTGCTTGATCTCCTCTTAGTGATATTTTTATTTATTGGTTGATTTTTTTTATACTCAGGGTATTTTTATAAAAAAAATCTGTTGTGCTTTAATCTTATTGTTTGTATGAATGGAAGCTACAGACCGCCACCTAATTTATTTCAGGATCAATATATATATATATATATATATATATCTGTCTGTCTATATATATATATATTTA